CTCTTGGAGGAGAGACGAAACGTTTCTCTAAAGAAGAACCCATCCAGAGGACCTACTTGTTTTTTTCTTTTTGATACTGGTGGTCTTCATTCTCTGGTTCTGGGTCCGACTCTGACTCCAACATGTAAGGCTGGATGGACAAGTCTTCCCTTGTTGATATCTTTTAATTCGTTTGTAAATAAATGTTTCTGTGCTGCTATATAGTCGTGAATCGCCTCATTTCGATTTAAAGACACAGCCTCAAATCGAGTTGATCTGAGAAACACCATAGAAAGSGGTGAAAGAGGGTGTTGTTGTGTTTTGTTGTTACATAGGAGGAATTCAGTTTTTTTTTCTTTTTGTTGTTTTGTTTGGGCTGGAAATTGTTGGTTCGATCTGGCAACACTGCACCTCTGGTCTCTGACGGGTTAAAAAAGACACTTGACTGATTTTTAAGCTCTGATGCAGTGGAAGTCAATGGAATCTCGAATGTGCTTTCTGCATTCTGTGGGAAGATCTGAGAGAAAAGAGAACAAGAAAAATACCTATGCTTTTGATGTATAAACAATAATATGTGTAAAAGTGTGGAAAATAAGTTTAGACAGCTCAAATGTTATCATGTGAYATCATCACACTCAAAGTTTAATGTTCCTGGGTACTTCCAAAATTATACAACTTAAATGTAAAATCCATTAAAAATATCAAAATACCAGTTTAAGAAAGTTCAAATTTCTGCGACCAGTTTAAACTCATGTCCGTGTGAACTGTAGAGCTCTAAAAAATATTTTCTCTCCCATTTGTTGAAACTATTACCTGTACTTCAGACTATGGAAAAATATTTGCTTATTTTTATTATTTTGTCTTATGTATGATACAGTACAACAGAAAGTAAAGTATGCTAGACTTGAGTCGAATGTTTTGATGTTTTGCATTTGGAACAGATGCCTTGTTATCTTTGTTTATTTTTCTCCAAAAATTATCATTAGATTTGCTAATATATGGTTCTAAATTGCCTGCGATATGCAGAAAAGATCAGCTTTTACTGAGGTTTCACTTTAGGTGTTCAGATGATGCACACTACAGTAGGGTTGGGCATAATCGAACCATGTGCAATTAATCATCTGAAAAACATTAATCGATTACTTTTTGGCACTTGACGATTAATACGATTAATGCCACCAGGCAGAGTCCGCTCGCTGCTCCTCTCTGCTTCAAATATGACAAACATTAAAATAAAGTTCTTTAATTTATTTATCTATCAACACAATTTAAAATGAGATGTATAGCCTGAAGTCTGTAATTTTGACACAGTTTGGAACAGATTTTTATGATGAGCAAATCTTTCCCACTAAATTAGTCATCATGATTAATTTTTTTTGCCAATATTGCCCAACCCTACACTATAGTACTCTTTGCGTTTGTTACAACTYGATTACTTTAATTTGATTTTATTTTCCAGAAAAGCCTATGGGATACGATCAAAAACAAAAGAGAAGGAGGGACAGGGCCACCGACGACAAAGAAAACTGCCCCTCCTTTGAAAATGACGGCCAACAAAACCTTCCAAGTATCTCGAAACCCACAGTACCAAAGAGGGAAGCCTCGCAGCCCGCTGGCTTTGCACAACGAAAGAAAATCTGCGAGAGAGAATTCTCTCGTAAAGAACGGCTCGGCTGAGCCTACCTGCCTGAAATTAGTGGARCAGAGGCATCCATCCGAGGGAGTCCGTGATATTCAGAAGGACTCCCCTGTTGTTCTGCTCGTCCCGGCTGGAAAATTTGTGGATTCTGGCAGCATGTCCGCTAATCCGGACACTCTGACGGGACAACCTGAAAACAAAGGACTTCCACAAATGTTGAACAAGACTTTGTCCCCCATCGGGACACCAGAGAKGTTTAAGAGGCTGATGCCTCGTATTCAGTCAGACAGTTCCCTTCCTGCTTCTCTAACGTCTGCCAATGGTTCAGTTCCTTCTTTGAAAGAAGCTCTCGATGTCATCGGCTCTGATATGATTCTTACTACTACCAGAGACTCGAGTTCAAACTGCATGTTTTCAGATTCCCTGGAGTCTAACGACAACAAACAYTGCAGCGATCCTGACAAAGATATCGTCGGAACAATAAACGATGGCCTCGAGCGGTCTGAACCCAACCAGCCGAGGCTCACGTTTTTTGTCAATAAAAAATCCGAGGAAGCAGATCAAGTTTCGCACAAGGTGAAAAAGGCGTCTTTTACGTCCGCCACCGTGACTAAAGGCAAAGCCCCGGTGCAAGCAAACAGTCCGGGCGGGAGGAAGGTTAAAAAGTCACGTCGAAGGCTCTTAGTGAAAACGCTGGAGCAGTGCGACAATGGTCCAGGTACTCCCAGCCTTCCCGTCATAGACACTGAAACGGGGGCCGTGCTGGGTGACGAAGGACATCTGGTCTCAGAAATTAGATCTTCCAGCCCCAAACCAAGACTCGAGGCCTCATCTGCYCCCGTCACCTTCCCCATCTCCTCCYCTCCGTGCACGGCTCCATCTCGCTTCTCTTTCCCAGCTTCACCTGAAGTTCGGCCTGCCCCCGCGCCGACCACCTTCACCGTCGCAGTGTCCGAAGGTGCCTCCGCTGCTTCTGCGCCTCCTCCCGCTCGGGAGGACCCGTTTCCCGTTCAGCTGGCAGTGAAAAGCAAGAAGAGGAAGAGCGACGAATATCTGAAGGCCAAGGCTTCTGGGAAACCCGAGCAGTTCAAAAGGAGCAGAGTCGTGGCGGGAAAGAGCGAGCCGCCGATGTCAGTCCAGGAGAGGAGGAGTGCGTCGCAGCGACGGAGGCTAACGAGTGAGCAGATTAAGTTTCTTTATGGAAATGGTGAACATTTAGATGGTTGAATGTACTTTTGTCATCTGCCAACTACAAATCGCTCACTGATCTGATTTTTATTTACTTTCTAGACTCGGCTCAGTCAGGGATTACATCGTCTCTGAAGATCAGGTCTGCAGCTGCTGTTCAGGCTAAAAAACCATCGTCCAAGATCACCTCACAAGGTATACATTTCTACAAGTTTTTTTTTTTTTAGAGAACCCATGTCACGTCATTAAAGATTTTTGACAGTTTATTGCTGTGCTTTAGATTTGAAGTCTGTTGTCTCATTTATAGCTGCGTCATCTATTGGGGCATCCAGTTCTGTGAAAATGTCTAAAGTRGCGGCCGTAGCTCAGTCAAAACTGACTTTCATCAAATCTATGCAAACAGGTATTTCAAGATCAACATTGCTGGAGAGCCAGGGTCTTTGATATTCATACTGTATATTGGGACGTGTATTTATTTGCTTTCGTTTCTTTTTATTTCTCTAGCTTTACCGAGACATCCTATGCCGTTTGCCGCCAAGAACATGTTCTACGACGAGAGGTGGCTCGAGAAGCAGGAGAGAGGATTCACGTGGTGGATCAACTACGTCCTCACTCCCGATGACTTTAAAGTCAACAATGAAGTTGCTAAAGGTATCGTGCCTGTTGTGTACTGAAGATCCATGGTCTAAACCAGTTCTCAAGCTGTGGGCCGGGCTGTGACTTCTCCCAGTTGATGTCTTTTTTTTTTTTAAATTTCAAAAGTGTTTTTGAACAAATTATTCAGAGAAAATGAAAAAAAAAACAAAAACAATTATAGTATTGCATTTTTTTCCACAAACCTACTTGACACATTGTTAGTGTTTATTTAAATGCAACCCACCAGTGTGTGGCATCCCTCAAAGCCCTCCAGTGTACACAGAAGGAAGTATTCATGCTGTTAGAGCTCTTCGAGGGCCACACTTTACATCAATACTGGCTTGGGAGTGTGCCGAAGCAGTCAACCACCTAGGAAGAGATAACAGTAGCTGTGTTTCCATTGACCATGAAAATGGGCAAAATTAAAATTTCGAAAATAAATTTGTTCAATGGAAACACGTCAATTTCGAAAAAAATTACATTTTTCAACAAAATGTTTTTGCGCTAGGATGAGGTAGTATTTTGGCCGTATCGAAATCGGTGTTTTTCGCAAAACTGCAATGGAAACACTTTTTTCGCATCACGGTTACAAATGTATTCACGTGCGACTTTAATAGCATTTCTTACTTAATGGAAATACCGCAGTTGTGAAACTGTTTTTCGACATTAACAGGATATCAACAAAGTTTTGCGCACATTTGCAATGGAAACGCAGATAGTTTTACTTTTAAATGGGTACAAGGACATACTGGCATGAATGGTAATGAGAGAGCTGACTACCTCGCAAAAGCTGGCAGTCAGGCTCACTTCAAAGTTGTAGGTACCTCAACAACAGTCTGTATGATGGCCCTACAGGCCTGATTTAGACGTCAACACTCAAACTGTTGTTGGGAGCTGGTGGACTGTAGACAGGCATGGGAACTGATTAACGGTCCAAATCTTAGGTTTAGGAAAGCTTTCATCTCCCTGACAAGGAAAACTCTAAGTGCACTGGTTGGAGTCCTAACTGGGCACAATCTGCTCAACCACTACAAAATGGTGATGGGACTCCATGACAGTGATCTGTGTGATGCCTGTGGCATTGAATTAGAGACCTCTTTGCACTACTTAGACCACAGCGTGGCTCTGAGCWGTCAAAGGAAAATAATTCTTGGGGATGACTTTATGGATCCTGAGAAGCTCAGAACACTGAGTGTTTCTAACYTTGTGTCCTTCATCTGAGGGATGAGAAGGTTYSAATRAAGACCAGTGTYTTKTTGGGSAGAGCAATGGGCCCACTTACGAGGCCCCCGCTCATAAGGGTTCTTTATCCAYCCCCAGTCACCATAAACTAGTGTTTTTCATTTGGTGGCAGCATAGATAATTTTCTTTCTAAAAAGAAGAGCTAATGAGGCAGATAAAGTCTCATGAGTCTGATCTTCCTCGTGTATCTTTTGCAGTAAGTGCCGTGTCTCTTGCCATGGGAAACGATGACAAGTTCAGTGTCCTCAGAGCTCCAACCAAAGAGGAGATGTCTTTCAGCACCTACACGGCCAAACGGAAGCTGAACCGCCTCCGTCGWGCCGCCTGCCAGCTCTTCACATCCGAGGCCATGGTCAAGGCCATTCAGAGGCTCGAGCTGGAGGTGGAGGCCCGACGGCTGCTTGTTCGGAAAGACCGTCACCTTTGGAAGGACATAGGTGAAAGTTCTATCAGAGTATTTAAATGACTTTAAATTCTAAATATGCAGTCTCAAACGGTAAATAGTTTTCTTGATTTTGTTTTTTTGCTTTTAGGTGAACGCAAAAAGGTCCTCAGCTGGCTCCTGTCATACAATCCACTGTGGTTAAGGATCGGCCTCGAGGTATTTGACACGTCTTCTGCTTTGCGTGGTTTCTTTGCAGACRTTTTTGCAGATGTCTTTGCTATCACGGTGTCATTCTTTCTCAGACCATCTTCGGGGAGCTGATCTCTCTCGAGAGCAACAGTGACGTGTTGGGTCTGGCTGTGTTCATCCTTCAGCGGCTGCTGTGGAACCCAGACATCGCTGCAGAGTTCAGACACGCCCGAGTGCCTCACCTTTACAAAGATGGTAACGTCTGTTGTGTTTATTTTGTTTTAAGTTTAAAGTTCGTTTTTTTTATTACATCTTTTTAAAATTCAGCTATATTAACGATTGTTAACTTATTGTTACATAATTCGATTTTTCCCCTTTTTTAATTATATTGTTGTAATTGAAAATCACACGAGTTTTTAAATTGTTTTGTTCATTTAACCTCAGGAGCAGCTTTTTTTTGTTTTCTATTTCTTTTARCTACTTTAAACTTCAGATCAGTCAGCTGAACCTGGACATGTTTGGTATCAAAAGAAACATAAGAATCTTGGCTAAAAACTCATGGAAACTATTTTTACATTCATCAAAAACACAGTTCAAACATTAAGCATTTGGATCAGAAATTAAAACAAACTGGACAAAATGGTATCATTGCAAATCTGTAAATACATTAAAGCATATTTGTAAAGAAAAAAAAAGACATTATTTTTTAAAGCAAGTCAAAGCAGAWACCAAAATATGTTGTGAAGTGTGTTGAAAGTTTTTTTTTTCACTTGATTTTTAGTGAATACAATGCAACTGAAGTCAAATATAATTTCTCATTATTTTATATAATATATACAAAACATGTATGGTGACAAAATAAATGTTTGGATCATTTTTCAAAAGAACAAACAGTCAACAACGTCTTTTCGGTCAGGTAAGAAAATATAAATAACTTTTGGACGTAAAAACACAAGATTTCTTAACATTTATTAATGGTACCATCATGGTCCATCCTGTGAAGAATGACAAAATGCAAAATTATTTCTTTACTAAAACCTCTGTAACTTTGCTCCAGTTTATTTTAGCAGCATGAATCTTTGCACAGGTAATGTCCACAAGTGGATTTATGGTTTCCAAGTGTTTTTAGCCTGATTCATTATGGTTTTAAATGGGTTATATACTGTCAAATGCAAATTCAGGTGAGAGTGAAAAAAAAAACATATATGTTCCGTTCCCAATGTCTCTAAAATCACAGCAGCTGTTTTAATACTTACACTTCTGATGAAATCTCCCAAGTGTTAGCTTTATTTTGATACCAAGATTATTTATGTTGAGTTTGTAAATGCTGAGWTACACTCAGTTACATTTGGCTTGGTATTTTGAGCAACGACTTCAAGAAAAACCCTTGGTGCTTACGAGGTTAAATAAACGAAAAAGCCTTCCTGATTGTCAGCATGTGCTGATTTGAACTCTTGTTGATGGTTTCCCCATCAGGCCACGAGGAGGCGCTGTCTCGCTTCACCCTGAAGAAGCTGCTCCTGCTCGTCTGTTTTTTGGACCGAGCCAAAGAGTCTCGTCTGATCGAACACGACCCTTGTCTCTTCTGTCTGGATGCAGAGTTCAAGGCAGGCCCAGTCCAAAGTTTTACTTTCACAATAAAATACATTTTTATTAAAAGAAAATTTTACCACAAATTAATAATGAGGTAAAACTGTCCTCTTAGATGAGTTATTCTCTTATTTTTCCTACAGGCWAGTAAAGACCTGCTGCTGGCCTTCTCCAGGGACTTCCTGAGCGGAGAGGGGATTCTTCCTCGACACCTCTCCTACCTCGGGTTACCAGTTTCCCACGTTCAGGCGCCCCTCGACGAGTTCAACTTCGCTGTGAAGAATTTAGCCGTTGATCTGAAATGTGGCATTCGCTTAGTGTGAGTGAGAGATCCTGAACCTGTTTGTGCTGCTCTGATCATGAACGTCCTGTTTTCAGGATGATCTCGGTTCTATTCTGTCCAGCTCAAAGTGATTCAGACTGTTCAGCAGAGCAGTGACGATGGACGTATTTGTATATCTTCATTAAAAATAACTTTATTTGCGATAATTGTTGAAATATATATTGTCCCAAGTAAGCAGAAAATACTGGAAATAAATAAATAATAATAATAATAATAATAATAATAATAATAATAATAAACCTACCTTGAGGTTATGAAAGTATTAGACTTTTTCTGATATTGCACCTCATCTTGATTTTATTTTAAGGCCTTATTTTCTCCCAGGGTTAAATTTTACGACAGAGTTTTAGGGCCAAACAACAAGGTTTATTTATTTTTTTATTATGAAAATAAAATCAAAATACAGTACTACAAGAAAAAAGTCGTAATATGAGAAAAATGTCATAATCTTACATGACGTCCATTTTACCTTCCTGATATTTCACTTATTTCCGCATCATTTTCCTAACACCTGAAGAACCATGCACGTCTTTGTGTTTATGAAGTAGTCCGCAATGATTTTGGATGACTGTTAGTGTAAAATGCTTTTATCCAAATTACTTGACAACTAAATCTGTCAATGCAGCCATTAATTGCAATACGACTTCAGTTTATCATGTAGTTGTTTGCACACCTCTTTAAAGAGTAACTTACACCAAAATTAACTTTTTTTAGCTGATAAACTGTCTAGAATGTGTCTAAAATGTTATATAGTACTGTTTCTGTGCTAATTTTGATGTTTTTGTTCAAATCTGTAACATTTGGTCTAAAAACGTCTTTTTGCTGCTCATATGGGTAGAGCAGTGGTACTG